CTCTGATTTGAATGTGAATAATTCAGATGATTGGGAATTCCTATTGCTAACTAATTGTAGATTCAAGGAGTAGAAAGGTTCAGAATTGGTGTGTAAATGAGAGCTGTAGTTTGTGATAGGCTTTACCATAATTTTTCCGTAGGTTAGTATGTTGGTATAATGTTACCTGTGATATAAATTACCGACTCCTTTTAAGTTTGCTGGTTAGCTATATTTGTGTATTTGTTGCTGTTTACTGTTGTTATATGTTACTGCTGCTCCATAGGAAGAATGCTGGTGGCCACTCCTAAATGCCAACTTCTTTTGCAAAGCATCCAAGGACTTGGCTGGGCACAATTAGAAGTGAACCCACTGCCCAGAGTCGTTTTTATCATCTGTTCCTAGTAATAATTTCTTCTTTGGGTGTGTTTTATAGCTACCAAAGATGTTTTTGTGTGGAGTTTGTTTGAAAAATTGTAACAAGCTGTGTTTATTTGAATAAACTTGCCGAGTTAGTTAATAAAGCAAGTTTGATAACACATCTGTTTATTTTTCTGTAGTATTTTTCCAGTAGTACTCTGCTACTCTGATGGTTACTCTGATAACTTTGTAATCCATTCAGTGTTTGAATGATTTATTTACCATTTTACCTTGTCCAGAATAAAACTAAATAAAGAGGTTCGTTTCAAATTTTCAAACTGATGGAGCGCTTTGTACTTCCCCCTCCTTTCTCATCTGGCTCTTTATGCCCCTCTCAATATTCCTTTGTTTTTGATGGGTTGCATCTTAGAATTTGCAATGATTTGCATCCGAATGTATAAATGATTTCAATATTGAACTGTTAATCAATGGAATTTTATTAACCCCCAAACTGGCATTAGAGAAAACTGCATATGGTGCAAAAATTCGAAAGTTTATGGTGCAAAAATCAATGTTAAACTGTTTTTTCATGCAATGTACTTAGCAGTTTTTTTTTCAATTGATACAATGTAGTTTAAAACCCACCCACATAGCAGTGTACTTTTAAAAAAAATATCTCGTTATATAATCCATCAATTTTAAGCTAACAAACTGTTTAGGGATATTTTAAGTTTTAGCAATATTTTTTTTAAGTTAGGGATTATATAACGAGATATTTTTTCCCTAAACTTGACGGATTAATTTATGTTTTAGCAATATTTTTTTTT